ATATTTTGGAAAACATATAATTTTAGTTCTTTAATTTTAAGTTAACTAAAATTTTCAACTTTTTAAATTTAATATATTTGATCCTCCATTTGTTGATTTTTTTTCTACTTATAAATTTTAAATTCTCATTTTCTTGATAAAATATTTCAGAGTTGAATTGATTAAACTACCTTTTATTAAAAAATTAATAAAAATATCAAATTTCACACAAAACAAAAAAAAAATAGAAATGTCCACAAAAATTCCAAACTTAATTCCCATAAAATCAGAAACAGTTAAATTAGCAAAACTAATAGTACTCTGAAAAGAATACCAAATAGTATCTGTAAGATCTTATTAATTGAGGAAAAAAATTAAAATTTTTATTTATTCAAATTTTTAATTTTAATGTTTAAAGTCATATGTTTAAAGTATTTTTTACTTGAGTGTTCCGAATTAACAACTCCATCCAGAATGAAGTTTGAAATTTGATTTTGATATAGCTTATGAAGAATTAGTAATGAAATTATAATTAAACAAGGCTTTGATTTACCGGCAAACCTTAATCATTGGATAAATTTCAGTTGAAAAGTTATCTATCGTTGCATTTTTAATAAATGTTAATTTCAGTTTTCAAAGTTAATTTTAAGTAATTAAAAATGATAAATTTTTATTAGAAATATTAAAATTTTAATAAATATGATTTTCAATAAAAATATTTTTAAATAATTTAAATTAATTTAAAAACTAAACTTAATAAAATATTAAGTGTCTCCTTAAAATATGGAGAACTTCTTCTCTACTAAACTCTTTTTTTTCATAAATAAAAGAAGTAATGAAATCACAAATTTTTCATGTTTAGAATAGAGAGATACAATAAAGGAAAGTTATGTTTATTAATTTTTTATGCAAATCTAAGCACAATCTTAGAAAATCACGTTACTCTTTGTATATATATAGTTTAAATTTGTCCATTATTTGGTTTGGAATGGGCATCCCAAAGCTGGAAGTACAGTTACAAGAATTCAAATCTTCACCGATTTACGTGAGAACATGGTAATTTAGTTTCAATTTACTCAAGTAAATATGAAGTATAGTTTCATCTAGAGCATTTATTGTTGATGGTATTACTAAATAGTGTAGAAATCAATAGAACTTTATTGTCTTAAAGAAGCTGAGCTGACCTATTGAATTATTACATATGAATATAAAATATACAGGAACACACTTGAATCCAGTGTAAAGTAGACTTAAGCGAATCTAAGCTCACTTAAATAAATATGATATATAAGTATAACTTCATTTAATATTAAAGCAATGTCCATTGTGGTATTACTAAAAATTAATTTATATTAGCAACATACTCTCTTACATCCTCTTCTTCTCTTCGTCATTAGTTAAAATTTATTAAAAAATAAAAAAGTATGATAGAAAAATATTAATTTAAGAGTAATAAAAAGTGAGACACACATAATTTTTAATAAATTTTAACTAATAGTAAGAGGTATGTTACATGGTATATTGTTAACATTATTCATGTTGAATATGGTAAAAAAGGTGATTAGAAGCTAATGGTAAGACGTAGTTAAGGACCTTTTACTAAACATTAAGTGGGATTGCATTCATTTGAGTGAATCTAATTGAGGATCTTTTACTTTACATAAAGTGAGGTTAAATTAGCTTAAGTCAGTCGAAATGGAATTTTGTTCCACGTAAACTAGAGGCAATGCAAATCTTATTTACAAGTGAGTGTTTATGCATAAGAACATGCTTGTTGGATTTGAAAAAAAAAAAAAAGGAAACAAGATCATACATGTGTGTTAGGAATATTTTAAAATTTGATTTATTTGTTTTAAGAAATATAAATTTGAATTTTAGATATTCTATTTGGGACACGTGGATTGCACTGTGTGTGCATGTCCCAACATCTAGAAGTCTTGATATTTATTAAGAGATTTGAATATATTATCAATCAATGGCTTTTCTAAAATAAATTTTATTTAAAATTTCTTCATTTTAAAATCTTAAAAACTATAAAGTTATATATCATAAGTTTCTCTAAAATTGTAATGCATTCTTAATTTTTTTTACAAAAAAAAAAACTTAAGTAAAAATTTAAAACAAATTGATATTACATTCTAAAGGACTAACGGCACATTCAACTTTTACCACATTATAACATATTCATCTCTAATTTTATTCATACTAAAATCTACAACAACTCTTTTAATCTGGACATAGTGTTGTTTATATGGACACACACCACTGGAACATATGAGATATCATCAAACATCTTTGTTCACCCTAGACAACCTTTGTTAAAGGAAAAGTTTCCATTTCAGTTACCTTATACCGAGAAACTTTAATACTTATTTTTGTTAAAAATAATAATTTTACGATGAATTCGAATAAGATTTGAAAGAAGAATATTTAAAATAAAATCAATATTAACAATCAGTCATAACTATTAGTTTTATATTTTATGATTTAATATGAATATGTTTTGAAATTGAATAATTACTTGCATTAGAATGTATGTTTCGTTTTTAAAATTGGTTGACCAATAGATTGACTTGGACAGGGAAATAATGCGTTAATGATAAAATTTCTTCAACTTATTTATTTTTGCTTTCTGAATCGTTGTAGAACAAGGCGACAAGCTCTACCTACAAAGTAGTTAGTTAGATATTGTTCCTTTGTCCAAAACATGTATTTCTTTTTCCCATTTTCGGTTCAATGTTGTTTACTTACACACACTGGCACCCTCTTTAGAAGAAGGAAATCAACGAATTGATGCACCTTGTTCTACGTGGCATCGCACTGATACTAGGAATATTTGGAATTTACACTGCCTTCAAATATCATAATAAAGTGAGATTGACAATCTGTACAGCTTGCATTCATGGCTTGAAATGGGGTTATTTTCCTGGATTGTGTTACATAGTAATTCAAATTCATTAAATCAGATATATTTGGGAATTATTTTTAAAATATTGTAAAATTTTAAATATATAATTATTATGTTTAATAGAAAATTTTCAAATTACTTATTTTTTTAAAAAAATATTTTTATTATTCTTAACTTTTTATATTTATTATTTATAATTCTTCTCTACTTATTCTGACTTTCAATATCTTATTTTTAATTTTATATTTTTTAAAATTTTGCATCCAAACATTATCATGCAATTCAGGTAAAATCATTAGAATGTTGATTCTGCTCTATACTTTCTTGAAATTATAACATTCCTTGAACAGTATATCAGCATATCTTCTACTTTGTGAATACGATTATAAAAATTGTCGATAGAGACGTTAAAGTAATTGAGACATTTGTGTCCATGATCTATAGTTGAGTTTATGCTGTCATATTTCCTTTGTCTGCTGTTTATATATATAACACTTTTCTTTCATAAAATGCTTTTATTCCAACATTATTTTTTCGGTTTATTTCTTTCCATCACTTATCACCTCTCTTATCCCACACTTCTCTTTCTTATATTTCTCTTAATCGTAAACAAAATTATACAAGAGTGTTGTACAATTACAATTTCTCTGTAAATCAATCCTGAAGGTGGCCCTAATATATCTTCACATTGTGCGTTACCTTTCACTTTTATGTCATTTTCTCCAGTCTAACTTCGGAAGTTCGTATGGATACTTGCAACCCAGTGGATATTTGGATTTGTGCCGTTTTTCTACCCTGGAGGTACTTCATCCGTAGGAAGCATTTCACTCCCGTGGCATGTCCTATTTGGGCTGTTTCTGTGTGTCTTAGCAGGTCGAACTGCTTCTCCTAGTTTTCTAGAGAAGTTCACTTTTATGGAGAATTTTTCAACTCAGAGGACCTCCCTGTCAATTTCGTTGCCGTTGTATAGTTCCTTTGTTGTGTTGTCTGCTATTTCTCAGGCTCCCGCACCAGATGATGACTACGCACTCATATGGAATTCTTCACTGTATTACTTTTATAAATCAATTTCATGCTTGCTAGTGGGAATTAAGTACGAAAGTGACAAATAAAAAATGTGATTATGAGAAATAATGTACACTTCAACTAATTTCTCATTTATTTATAAATCACTCTCTTGATCTTGGGCATCAAATTTATTGGTGTTTAACTATACATTTCAACTAATTTAGCTCTTTTGATTAGTTTATAAGCTTATTTACTTTGTATACAAAATTTAACATTATATTTAAATTTAGTTTATTGTATCAAATATACAGCAAAATTAATTGAATTGGATGTGGTAAAGTACATGATAATCTAATCACGAGTTAATAGATAATTCAGAACACCAAATGTTATTTGATTTTACTGCATAAGAGTCAAAATCTAGGTCATCCAGTTTCCATTTAGACTAAGAAGATGTTTGATTTCATTTTTAAAAACAGTTTTTAGTTTTTAAAAATAAAATATAGTAAAAATTTGAACAACATTTTATTCTTAAGAATTAAAAACTGTTTTTAAAAATGAAATCAAACATGCTCTAAGAATTTTGTTTGAGAAAATATTTGTTTCTATTTTTTGTTTTCCCTTTTAATTATAAAATTGGTATTTTATTCTTATTTTGTTTCTAATTTATAAAGATTTATACAAAAAAAATAGTAAAAGTAATATTTGCCAAAATATAAAATAGAAGCACCAACAATTTTTTTGGTGAATTTTGTATCAGTTACGCAATTTTTATTTTTTATTTTTAGATACGAGTATGACCATATGTAACTTAATGAAACAGTGAAGATACAAACTTCACTGAATAAGCTACCCAAAACAGGTTCAAAGATAGGTTATCCAGTATGCTATTTAACTTCTTGTTCTGATCTCGAACTGCATTTTCATCACTGGGAACCACTTTCATCAATATTAGAAGTCAGTCCCTGCCAGTCTATTGACTCATTCTAGAATATTATAGTAGTAATGATGATATATACCAAGTAAGGAACGGAATTAGAAGTTTCTTCGTGATGAGGAAAGTAACCTGAGTAATGTGTAACAATTACTTTGTAATTGTGGTACTGAAGCAAAAAATACCTTCCGAAAGGATGAAGCCACCGTCGTACATAATATAAAATTTCCATTCTTTTCTCCAGTGATAGATTATGCCTGATATGAACGAGTTTTATTTATCTCTCCACACCAGCCGTGTTTGGCCTCCATTTCCGTTTCTCCCAAAGGCCAGTGTCTGTTATCGACCGAATGTCCATGAATAATAGAATAGAAGCAAAGTTGTATTCATGTCAGTAAAGTTTTTTTTTTATTATGTCTCTCTCTTTCAGCCATATTGCATTTAATGAATTGAAGAAGATATAATGTGATTAAATAAAATCATTTGACTAGTCAGTAATCGATTTTCACTTTAGTATAGAATATTAACAAACCTTGGTTGATCTCTTATCATTAGGAGTCCACGAGGGTTGAGAAGTGGAATATCTTCTTTTTTTCACTGAGTTTGAAGATTGTCCGGATTGCTTCTGTCTTTTATGTTCCTGAATACTTCCAGATGTTCTATTAGGTTGGTACTTAAAGAAGTCAATTACCGAAGGGCTTCTTCTCTTAGAAACTTTCGACATGTTCCCCGGGTACCCAAAATAAGGGTCAGAATTCCCACATGATAATGATTTTTGACGCAATTTGCTCTTCTCTTTTACTTTATTAATAAATTCAGTTGTCCAAGGTGAATTCTTTAATAAACTCGCCGACCGGCGGGCATGTGAAAGTGGAGTTTCGCCCAAATATGACATTTCCTCCTGGAAGGGTAAATCATTTATGTTTCCCATGGATCCCTGAGTTAAACCAATGTTTTCACGGGGCTTGAAATTAAGAGGAAATACATCTTTTCCAAAATCTGGTTCGGGATAGTGGTTAACTTCTCGTGTATCTTGTAAGGATCTCCATGTTTTCGATGAGTTGGTTTCTGGGTGAGTCCTATTGCCAAATGACAATCTCCTTGCAAGTTTATTATTTCTTATATGATCCTTTTCTAACAAGGGGCTATCAGTCAATTCAACCACCTCACCTCTAATATCCTGATGCAGCTTCTCAGAATTGCAAAGGCTAGGCCAGTTAAAACTTTTGCTCATCAAAGAAGTATCCAGTACTTCGTTCTGAGCCAACTCTTTATTTTTCAAAGATAAACTGGACTGTTTCAATTGCTCTAATTTTTGGGGAGCTTTGTGGTTCCGTGGTGACTGCGAAACTCCGGAAAGGTTTCTCACTGCACTTGCACTGATGCCTTGCTTTTGATACAAAAAATCACCCATGGACAAATTAGCCTTTGCTAAGTCACTGGATCTCCCAGCATCTACTGGCATACCAAGATCAAAAGTTTTTGGCAAGGTACAGTGATCCGGGACAGCCTCAGTTACTTGATTTAATGTTTCGAATTGCAACAATTCATCAAAATATAGTTCATCTTTCTGATGACTACTTATAGGAGTTTTTCTTTTTCTTTCGTTGTCAACTTGAAATAAACGACACCTATCTGAGTCTGGACCAGAAGATACCGAAGAGGAGCAGTCTGTCATTATGGATTTTGAGTCCTCCCGTTCCCCATATTTGCAGAAAACACTGAATAGAGAAATACTTTCTTCTGGAACATGATACCTTTCTAGAACATGCATCCTTTGTTCATGTGACCACTCAAGAAAATCATTAAGCGTGACCCCTGAAGAAAGTATAGAGTGTGCCGTTAAAGGATTTATTCCAGGAAATTGCGTAAGAAACGACTCTGCAAGAGATACCGAGTCAGGCATTTTAGGATAGAGACCCCTTGTCATACTGGTAGCACTCTTAATGCAGCTTACTATAACTTCATTTGTTAACTCCGGTGAGTATGAGAAGAAGATCTGCAAATCAATTCCCAGGCTAGCTGCTGCAGCATAAAGGCCATCTGAGGATTCCATTACAGTAGAGAGAAAGTTAAATTCTCCCTCAAAGACCTAGAAGGAGATGATAACATATTAAAACCAGTTCCGTGTAAAAGTACTCAGCTCAATTAACAACTATCATTACAAGTTCCTCTTCTTTTGGTAAAACGACTCTCATCTTTTAATTAATCGTTTACATCCATTGTGATGCTTCTATTCCGTCATATAACAATATAATCAGATTCAGAAAACTAATTTTATCCGTTCCCCTGTGCTAAGAGCTTATATCTTCCAAGCATATAAAATACCTGATGATGACTATGATTAAAACTCCTTAATTTCCTTTCAGCTGGGGTTTAGATAAAATTGGTTTTACTCCTTGAAACATTAATCTTTCAAGGGGTCTAAGAAAATGCAAAAGCTGAAGATCAGCTGAGTACCTTGTAATTCTTCTTGAGCCCTACATTTGAAAAATTATATATCGCAAGTGTTAATATAGGAAACAGCAATTACCAGAAAGCAGCCACGGAAGTAAAAACTAATCAAAGTCAGAACATCTGTTGCAATATTCTCAACACATAAAGGCAAGCTTGAGGACGCTTCTGTGGCTGGAGTTGCTTTCTTCCAAAGGTTTCTACTATCATACCACGCCAAACAAATTGCAGAACCTAATATAATATCCACCGGCAAATGTAAATCACGTTCAACAACTTGAAGTCCTCCTTTCTCCATCGCAAGAATTACTTGGTAAGAGTTTCTTCTAGACATTATCATTTCCTTATCTACATTTTGAGTATTTACAATGATAACTGTTCCAGGGAAATGCTCCTCGCTCTGACAACCATGTTCAGTTTTCACAGCAGGAATAAGGGGCACAAAATTGTCTGCTTCAGGTGCAACCATCGAAGATTTTATATCATAGCTTTGCTCCACAGGACAAAAGTTGAGTAGTCTCTTCAACTTTTGATTCATTATACTTTCCTTCTGATTGAAAATAAGACTTGTCTCACTTTCCTAGCAGACAATTGTTAATTGCACGAGTGAGTTTTATGTGCTTGCACATTGATTGGTAAACAAAATATGAACTAGGAATTAAGAGTAACAATCAATTGATGCCGCTTAGTCGATAATTTCAGTTAAAAAAGGGGACAAATGATCATTTCATTTCAACATCAGCACTGCACCACATATGTGGCAGCTCGGTTCTACTATATAATCACCAAGTTGAAGTCATAAGTCATCTTCAATTGTGGAATAAACTTGCATTTTTGTTAACATATAGGCCTTACAAGAATCTCAAAACTGTTTTTCCGTTCATAATTCAGACTAAGACATTAAAACCCACCACTCTCTTCGAATAAAAATTGTTTTTCATTTCGAATATAGTATCCTCGCTCCTCAGTCAAGTCTTTGTTCACCTACAAGCGGAGATACACAAGCAAGAGCATGTTGAAAACATGATATAGATGCAGATTGCAGATCAGTCCCCGATTCTTATTACATATAAAGCAATTATAATGTTATTCACGGTCAATCAAAATTATATCTACAATAGGTTAATTGAAAAGTCAATAGCCCGCGATAGCGCCGCTATCGCGGCTGAGTGGAGCAGCTCCGCTGCCGCGACACGGAGTGCATAGGGTCGCGTTTTTGTGCAGCGGCTGGAGCGGCGCGAATGGCAGCTGTCGCAACCGCTATTGGTTGCACGACGGAAATGTCAAATTTATCCCTGTTTTCTTAACATTAGACATTTTCAAGGGGGCAATTTTGGGATTTCGCTCCCCTTTTACATTGTCAATTTATATCATTCGAATTCGGCACCCTTCAACCCTAAGTGCTCCCCCATTCCCCATCTTCGGCAACTTCTGCTTCGTCCAGCATGCTTGACAGTGGCTGACGTCCTTTTCCGGCCAAGTTCCGGTCATTTTCGTAATCTGCGGTGTGACCTACTCATTTCTGACGACTCTTCCGCGTTAAGGGCTCCTTCGCAACCAAAATCTGACTCTGTTCACTATATCCAGCCAAGTTCTAGTCATCTTCTTCGTTTCCAGCAAGACCCACCCATTATTCGGCGAGGCCATCCGCATTGGGGGGTTTTTCCGGTGAGACCCTCTGTTTTGTTCTATTTTTCTTCTCTGTTCTGTTTTTACTTCTGAGAACCCCTCCAAACGATTGAAATTTGAAATCTTCAACGTATATGTGTGTAGCATAAACTATATTTGGTGTACTTTCAATGTTAATAATAGCTATCCGGGAATGACTACTATAATTTGTATTCGAATATTATTTTTGTTAAGGTTTTTATTGGTTTCTTGCAATTCCATCGTGTCGTTACAGTGAGGTTTTGAAGATGAAGAAGAAGCAAAAGGTTGTTACAGAGGGTCAAGATTTGGAGTCTCTGATCCACGACCATACCCTGTTTTTTGATAAGCTGATTCAGCTCATTCCAGCCAAGTTTTATTTACCAATTGATGATGAGGAGAAGCCATGGTTTCAGGGTCTCAGCAAAGCTGCAAAAGCTGAGGCAAAGAAAGAAACTAAGGAGAATATCAAAAAGTCTCGCAGAGATCGATTAGACCCTGAGAAACCCTCTGCAACTACACTTGACATTCTCAAACAAAGCATGGGAAAAGAGAATGACAGCGATGAAGAGAGGGCTGCGGTTAAGCCTTTCATGTCTGGGCTGGAAGGAGATGATCGGTCTGTGACTTACGAAGAACTTCGCCAAAGGCTTCATCGCAAACTTGAGGAGTTTCGGGCAAGTCGTAACAATGGGAATTTAGAGAAAGATAATAAGGATGAAAGAAATACTAAGAGAGGATTTAAGGAGAGGAAACGCAAGAGGGATAATGAGAATGATGAAAGTAAGCCTGCACATGGAGAGTCAGCCGAGAAAGGGAAGAAGGATGCCGCGGAGGCCTCCAAGGAGCTTGTGTTTGGACATGTTAAACTTCAGAATGAGGAAGTGCAAGGGAAGAAGAAGAGAAAGGTTTCAAAGCATAAGGAACTCGAAAGAGCTAAGAAGTTGGAGAAAGTGAAGAAGAAAGATCCTGAGAAGGCCAAATCTTTTGCTAATCAGCAATCATGGAAAGCGGCAATGGATAGAGCTTCAGGGATTAAGGTCCATGATGATCCCAAACTGTTGAGAAAAAGCATAAATAAGGAGAAGAAGAGGCAGCAGAAGAATGTAGAGAAATGGAAGGAGAGGGTTCAAACAAGGGACCAGTTGAAGGCAGAGAAGCAGCAAAGAAGGTCAGAAAACATAGCTGAGAGGATTCATCAGAAGAAAATGCGTAAAATTGCAAAAAGAGAGAAAAAGCTCATGCGTCCTGGCTTTGAAGGTCGCAAAGAAGGTTTTATTAATGATGGTTCCAGCTAACATGGCTTTGAAGTTTACTGATTTGTGCCTTCTCCTTGCATTACTATCCTGCTTTCAAAGAATTTGGGTGTTTGCAGTGTTAGAGAATGAGAATTCAAGGGGTAAAAAATTCACCTCAGTTTCTAAGTCTACTTCAGTAGATTTCTTGAAATTGAACAATTTTTATTTACTATTATTTACCACAGCATATTTTGGCAATCTGGCATTCCTATTGACTAGTTTTTATTATCACTGAATTACGAGCATTTTGTTAAGGTTAATCATAGGTTGTTGGTCTGCGTTATATTATCATTTCTGATGCCTCTGTTCATTGGATTGTGTTACATTGCAAAGTTTGCTGAGATTTGGTTCGTCTCCCCCCACCCACCAAGTAAAGCTTGCTTGTGTATTCATTAAATAATATTCCTCTATGTTACTTCCTACCTTGAAATCCAAAGTCTTAGGCTTTCTTTGTAAGTAAAAATTAGGGAGAGGGGAAGGGAAGACTTTTAAAGAATCTTTTTCAGTTTGAGACGTTTTGAAAGTAAGGGAAAGGGTTTGACAATTTCCTGATGCCATCCAGAACCCACTTCCTTTGTATATTTTAAGTTCCTCCATTCTGGGGAACTTTTAATATCCTTTTCGGGTCAAGTTTTGGTCATCTTCATCTCGAGTGACACACCAGACCCATTTGCATTAGAGATTACTTTTCAACCAAAATCTGACTTTGTTCGTTATATTTTTCTATTTTTCTTTTCTGTACTGTTTTGACTTCTGAGAATTCTTACTACAAATGATTGAAATCTGAAATCTTCAGCTTTTATATATATTTAGTATATTTTAAATTTTCCATCTAACTATACATTGTAGAGTTTTGGGGGTCATCTGCATCGGGTCATCTGGACTGACTACTATTTTTATAATTTTTATTGTCATTGAAAAATAGTACGACTATAAGGTACAACCACATGATTTTGTATAGATTTTTTTTAAAATTTTTTTATAGTATAGATAAGATGAAGTTTTAAAATTTGTTGTATGACTTAAGGAAAAATTATTTTTTCACTAATTTACTTAAATAAATTTTCTTTTATCAAATTTACTTAAGTAAATTTAGACACTACTAAATTACATAGGATTCAGATCCCAAAGCAACATATTTATCACCCTTTCCATTAATGAAATAATTAATTATTTTACCTCCCGTTGCAATCAAAATCCCAAAACATGTATGTCTTATAGAGTGACGCCGTTACAGCTTTAGACATTTCTTTTTCTCATAAATGAGATAGTTATACTAGAGAGAAAAGATTGCTTCGTCTAGTTATTATTGATATAGCATATTTGATAGTTAATTTCAAAAATTTAATCCCACAGTTTATGTAACTAAAATAAAACTCATTTTATGTACGGCCCGTACTACTTTACATCCTCAAACACGAAATACTATATATTACAATATAAAGTATAACTTGTGCAAACAAAATACAAGAAATAAGAAACTGACAAAAAAAATTTCAAAATTTATTTGCAATATCATATAGTATCTATAATATCGAGTCCATATATATTAAGCTATGCATAATCACGCAGAGGCTTACCATTAACATTTCAGTGTTCAGGGGCATTTCAACACCTTCACAGAGTGCTTTGAGAGCAGCATGGCCATCCAATTCAACCGTCAAAAAGTGAAGATGAGGCAATCCAACCAAGTTTGGCGAAAGTTCAGATATCTTAGATGAGCCATATGGTCCTCCATATTCCAAGATAATGTCAAATTTGTTGAATGGAAATAATGGAGAAACATGCCTTCAATTAAATAGTACGGTTACTTAGTCTCAGCAGAAAGTATGACCCAAAAGATGTCACCAAAAAAATTTGTGATGCATTGATGCTCACAGTTTACAATTTGATCAACTGAATTGAGGAAATCGAAAGGGAAATCAGTTTCATTTTAAAATACTAGTAGCACCCTCACATTCACATCATTTCTGATCTACAACCAATATAAAAAGGGAAAAACTCATGCATCTGCAATCGGTGATTTATAAATATAATAAACATATCTTGTAGAATAAAGTTCAATTCTAAGTATGCATGAAAAATAAAGAGATCCTGAATCAAAAGCTTACTTGTATGAAACCAGCAAGCAGTCTGAAATCAGAAGTTCCTTCATTTTAGTATCTGTGTCCTCAGGCACATTAGTTGTAAATGGCTGATTTCTGTACGATTCATTTAGTTCACTGAATGATAACCCCAAAGAAAGAAGGAGACTTCTCAATGAACCCCAATAAACTTCTTTGGCCACAATCAAAGCTTTCAAACTATCCCTTTTGATGTTTGACTGTAAAACTTCCTTAACAATTGTTAGTGATGGGTGTGCCCTAGTAATATTATTGTCCATTTTCCTTTCTTCATCTTTGATCAAAGATTGCAGGAAGCCTAACCTTGATTTCAAGTACTCCAAGTTTTGACTTAATTTTTCTAAATACAAGCATGCTGGACGGAGACCATAGAAACATAAGTACCAAGCAGCCTGTTTAATTGCACTTAATATAATAAACGCCATATTGTTTCCATTTACATGGTATTCAATCAACTTATTCTTTTGAAGACTCAGCAATTTAAAATAATCTGTATCTGAGTTATGCGTCTTTGTCAGCTCTGTATCACTATGCAAAATGGCTAGATAGGTTTTTTCAAAATATCCAGCAAGAGACACAATATTGTCGGACAACTTAATTCTATGCAAAACAGTATGGCATGCTTGTGACTGTAGACCAGCCTTCAATCCAGTGGATGTAACTTTTGGATTACTTACATTATCATTGGTGGACTCCACTGCAAAATTACAATTCCCTGTACCAGTCGCTTTTTGAGGGTTTAAGAAATAATCAAGACTGCTGCTTTCTGACATAGACATAAATAACAACGAAGCCCTTTCAGCATTTCTTTCGGGTAATTGCTCTCGGCTTCCCTGTTTAGAAGATTCATATTCTAATACTTTGCCAGAGGCAAACTCTACAGGATGATTGTCAAGTAGAGGCATGCAATCAGAAAGCAACCTCTGCAACTCCTCACTTGGTATAATGTCACATTCACCTATAGTATCACCCCATAAAACTAGATCAAATACCAAATTTCCATCGTCGAAATATTTTCCTCCAAAATCTATGTTGTTCAGATCTATCTTTGCCCAGATGTCCTGATACCAGGTAGACATTTTAAAATTGCATTTATATTCTTCCAGTAGATCCCAGTTTAAGTAAATTCCATCAGATGCAGATAGGGGTTGGGTCTTCAAGTTGGAAAATAGTTCTCCAATGACCTCATGTAGATCTATCATCTTTCTGTGATCAGATATAACAGGTATAGGCAGTGATTTGAACGTATCATCTGTTAGTGCTATCTCATTACTAACTATCAGGTCATCAAAACTCTTGAAGTTAAACTCCTTAAAAATCCACTCACTTGTTAGTAGGTCATCCGATGCTTTTGTGTCATAGAAAGCTTCAAAGGTTTGAATTAAGTCCTTGTCAAGGAACACGAATTCCTGGAAGGCAATTAGATTTGATAACATAGCACTACCAGCCTGCAATGTTCCTTGAAGGACCGCACTCGCATCAACGTGTTCAGTTTCTAACATATCCATAAAATCCCTTTCAGGAAACAGATCTGATAACGCAAGGCTCTTCTTTGATACACAATCATCTGATAAAAACTCCATCATGTTATACTTCACGGAACCCAAAAGTTCCTTGCCTTCTGTTATGGATTGATATCGTTCATCAAAATTTTGAGGTCTGATATTTTCAAATTGTATGCCAACAATTTCTACCAAAGATATGCGAGCGGGAATTTCCATACTCTCCTCATCCACTTCCAAACTAAGAAATTTGTTTTGGTCAGAGGGTGGCAGGTGCTGAACAGAAACATTATCTTCTAAAGAATATGCGTTTTCCACAGTAAGGTACTCCGATACAACATCTTCAACCAAAGATACTGATTCCAGAGCTTCGTAAGGGTACTGCCTTGATGGCTCAGGCTTGAGCATTTCCTGCATGAAAAATAGAGGAACTTCTGTGAAAGTACAAAGACAAACACATTAATGAAAATAAAACAAAATTGAACTCATCAATTTATGTCCTATTACGATATGACCTATATCCGTCCAAATCCATTCTTATGCTTAAACAGTCCATACTGAATGATGCAAGAAGTTATCAATTTTCCAGCCATAAAACTAAAACTAAAATCCATTTAGCTCCTCAAAGTTGCAAATTCAACCAATACAGCAAAAAGCATAACAGACCTGACTATACACTATATTAATATACATATTCGGATACATAATCAAAACTTACAAGAAGAAACCAATGTAATTATTGCCATAGGCAACTGATAGATTCATTTAACGAAGCTGTAGACAACTCATATTTGGACAATATGAAAGCAAGCACGCAAACCTACATCAACACAATATGTAATAAAACCAAGTAAGTGTGTAACGTCGTTACCAGGCTATTTTCAACCTCTGGGGTTTGAGACAGCAATTGCATCCTCTCCTTCTCAACGAAGCATACATTTTCCTTTAAAATACAGAGGAAAAATTAGGTGAAAATTGAATGAAAATGCTACAAAATTAGAAAGAAGCGTCTCACCAAGAGTGCATCAAGCTCAGGTGTTTCGAATTGAACCGTTTCGTAATCGACATCGTTCTTATCACTAAGAGCAATCGTTTTACACTCCTACGAACAAAAAGACTGAGATCTTATTCTTATCGAAATAAATAACTAAATAAACAAAAATTATTAAGAAGTATGATAAATATACATCCGGAAAATCGATATCAACTTCGGAGACAAGATCTTCGAAGATAACCTCTGCTTCTTTCTAAAATGCGATCAAAACAAACGAATACAGTCAGGAAGCTTCTCATGTAACAAAGCATTGCGCATAGAATCACAATTTCAGAGTGAAATTCGAACAAAGATGGTAATCAACACAAGCCACAAGACAATCCGTTTATTCTTCATCGGAGAAACAGGAGCAAAAAACTCAAACTCAATTCAACTCGCGATTCCTATTCACAGCGCTTACCGCTGGGAAGGAGGAGCATCGATATCGGTTCGGAGACGGAGCGGTGAGATCTACGGGGATTCTGCCAGGAAGGACGGCGGAGAGGAACGTGGAGAGGGCAACGTGGATGGGGAAGGGGTCGATGGGGTGGGAGAGGTGGAACGAGGAACCAAAGCGAAGGTGGTGGTGGACAGCGGAGGGAGGCGGCGTGGGGAGGCGAGGGACTGGGAGGTAGAGGAAGGGGAGGGTTTCGCGGCGTTGGGATGGAGGGAGAGTGAAGTAGTCGTTGTTGAGAAAGCGAGTTCGCATTTTCTGAAGAAGCAGCTAACGGACTCGGAAATCAAATTGAATTTGGCGCTTTAATTTGATATTTATAGTGCATGGAATTTGGATTTTGGAGCGGTTCATGAACCGAACAGTGAAAGGTTCGCTCCGATTGCCCATTTTGGATCCAAAACCCTCTTTTTCTTCAGAAAAAAAATTAAAAAATCATATTGTTGCCTATTGCACTGAAGTAGAGTCCATCCTCCTCTTTAAGATTGCGAAAATGTTTTTATTTTTTTACTGTTAAGAGAAGATACTTTAGGTGTTTTTCTTTTTTTAATTTGAGATAAATTTATAAATAATAATAATAATAATAATATATAATATCATGTACGTATAAAACTTTTTTTACGAAAGGATTAATTTTAACTTTCAGTGCAAGCTAAAAGGTATGACTTTTTTATATACTCATAATTTTTATTACCGCCTGTTCAAGTAATTTTTTACATTTTAAAATTAATTTTGAAATAAATAAAATCAATTTTGAATATAAATTTCGTAAAATATATTTATGTTTTTATTTCAAAATCATTTATTTTGTTAAATTAATTTTTATCAACAAAATTTAGTTTAAGTGTCAAGTTCAAACTTTATATATATATATATATATATATATATATATATATGAAAAAGTTCTCGCTAGAGAACTAACCACAGCATATTATAAATATTTCTAACCTGAATATGATTGTATTTTATACAGAGAATACTTGTAGTTTACAAATAATAATTCTTTATGATAAAAAGATAAATTTTTTAATTTTTTTCTAAAACATTACGTTTAACATAAATTAATATTTTTAACATTCTTTTTTTTTTTAAGATTAAATCAATTTTAAACAAAACTTAAATTTAATGAAAGAACTAGAATTTTCCTTGGCTTCCTTCCAAAGTCCAAACAGTTCCATTCTTAAATAGGCGAAAAAGAGAATGTGTTTCTACTTGCTCACATTTGGATTTGTTAGCGACCTCCTAAATATAGCTTTATTCTCAGCAGATAACATCATATATTTTTTTTATTGCATTGCATGTCCAAGACGCAAGAACAGTTTGTTCCTACTCCAAAAACATTCATGGTATATGACAATGAGCCACGTACACAAACTAGCCAGCACGTGTCACATGACAAAGACGTGTCGGTTATTAACACGTGTCTCCAGTTTTGAGATGACACAGCCATGCAAAGGTGGCAAAACACTGTGTCAATTCCTTGTCTATAAACTGCTGTTTGTAAACAACATTCCTCACCGAGTACAAACGGATACATTTCCTTTTCAATCATGGACTCTAGAGCAGATCAAACTCATGCACATGGGTACGATGAACATCATCATAATTCCCACAATGTTGGGTTACAAGAAGGTACAAATTCATTTAATTGAACGTTTGATTTGATTTGATTTGATTTGAGGGAACTCTTTTTTGTTTCCACTAATGGGCATGCATGCATTATTTTTATTTCTTTCTTTGATATTTTGGTTCAAATTTTGGATGTAGGGGCACGGGGTGATGAAGAGCACCATCATGACCCTGAGAAGAAGTCGGTTATGAAGAAAGTCAAGGCAAAGGCTAAGAAAATTAAGGACACAATCACGAAGCATGGTCATCATGACCATGAACATGGTCATGAGTATCATTATGATGATCAACATATCCCTGATGATCATGACTTGGATGAGGAAGATGACGAGGATGAAGATATGGTTGAAAACCCAGAAGTCCATGGAGCACCAAGTATGTTCCCTTTTTTATTATGTTTTTCTAATTAACACACAAGAACTAGTCACCACCTGTTATATTCTTCTTAAACCAGTGAAATAGAAATTTGCCTTTCTATAAATTTTATGCTTGCTTGAAGAATATTGGAGCCTTTTGAATGAAAGGAATCAAGAGAAAAAAAGAATTTCACTTCAATTATGTTGAATAATATGTTTGGTTGTTTTGCAGTTTATGACAGTTCTGCTGCTAGAAGTGCCACTGCCACACCAGGGCAAATCAAAACTTTAGGGACACCTGGGGTTAATTTCGGAGGTAGAAAAATTATGGGAGAAGAACCTCATCACGAGCCTCGACTTGTCGTTGTTTCTCCAACTAGTGGAATTAATCAAAGCAAACCCACTGACCCAACTAGAACATTTGTTGGGGGAGAGAAAACAGTGCAACCCAAGGTCAATTTGGAGAGACCAATGGACTTGGAGGAAGATCCTCATGCGCCAGGAAGTAGAACTGTAGCATATGATCCAGCCAATTATCAAACCAAAGTCACTGATCCAACTGGGTCTGGTAAGTATGAGGATTGAACAAAGTTGTAGAACTCAATTTTCAATGATCTGTAGATTTCTTGATGGATTAAGTTACTTAAATGAATTAATGTACAGTTTCGGAAGATCTGATAGTTAATTTGTTGGTTTTTGTTCATAATTGGGTTTATTGGCTTTAAATAGTGTGGCGTTTGATTTTGTATAGTCCTCACTTGGTCATATAGTGTGATCCACAAGTCCACTAAGCATTCAAAATAGAAAATTGAACATATTGTACTAGGAGTCCTATCATCTTAGTGTGGATAAATATTTGATATGAACCATATTTGTGTACCAATAGTTCTAAAAATTTTATAAGAATTATTTTTTACTTGGTAGCCATTCATAGGATTGGTTCTGAGGATTCTATTCATTCTCATGGAAAATTTTTCGTGTCATATGCCTGACAGGTGGGGCGGAAATTGATATTACCCCAGTTGAGAAATCTTTTACCAATATGACTGTCCAAAATCAGCCAAAACCGATTCCAGAACCAAAAGTGCTTCCAGCCGTTGCTGAAACTCCATACTCTTCACAATCAAGCCACCACCAATTTGAGCCAGTTCTGTCTGCAGCAACCAAAACTCACTACCCATCTGCTGAAAGCTATGGCCAGTACCGGCCAGAACTATCTAGTGAAATCAAAACCCAATACCCCAAAAGTCATGCTCAGTTTATATCAGAGTTGCCTACACCAACCAATACTGCAGCAACCAAAACTCACTACCCATTTGCTGAAAGCTATGGCCAGTACCGGCCAGAACTATCTAGTGAAATCAAAACCCAATACCCCAGAAGCCATGATCAGTTTATATCGGAGTTGCCTACACCAACCAATACTCATTACCCTCCAGCCAGAAGCCATGATCAGTTGATATCGGAGTTGCCTACACCAACCAATACTCAATACCCTTCAGCCAGAAGCCATGATCAGTTGATTTCGGAGTTGCCTACACCAACCAATACTCAATACCCTTCAGCCAGAAGCCATGATCAGTTGATATCAGAGTTGCCTACACCAACCAATACTCATGACCCTTCAGCCAAAAGCCATGACCAATATAGTGCAACAAAATCCCAATACCCTTCAACTGGAACCCATGATGATCATTATACTGCAACAAAAACTCAATACCCTTCAACTGGAACCCACGATGCTCAACATATTGCAACAAGGACACTTTACCCATCAACCGGAACCCATGATCAGTCAGTGAAAGAATTATTAACTGAACCTAAAACTCAACAACACTACCATTCAGGTAAAAATCATGACCAATATTTGCCACAACACTCTAGTGCAACAAATACTCGATACCCTTCAGCTGGAAGCCATGATCAGTTTCTACCAGAAGAGTTTTCTACTCAACCAAAAACTGCACAAACCCACAACACCTCTTTTGAAGAACAACCTCAACAACCCTCAGATCAAAGCAGTTACACAGATAAAATCTCCTCAGCAACCTCAGCAATAGCCGATAAAGCCGTCACGGCCAAAAACGCCGTCGCTTCAAAGCTTGGATACGGCAACGAAAACGACAATGAAAGACATCATGAAGAGAACACAAGTGCTGAAAAACCACTGAACCAAAGCAGTTACACAGAGAAAATCTCATCAGCAACATCTGCAATTGCTGATAAAGCAGTCTCAGCCAAAAACACAGTAGCTTCAAAGCTCGGTTTTGGCGAGAAAGGTGACACAGAAGACAACAAGGTAACAACGACAAATGAAGATAACAGAAGAGAGAACAATGCTTCTTCCCCTACAGAATATGGAAAGAGAGTTGCTTTGTCTTTGACAGAGAAACTAGCTCCAGTTTATGGTAAAGTTGCTGGAGTAGGAAGTTCTGTGAAGTCAAAAGTTCCTGGAAGTGAAAGAGACAGTACTGGTGTGGGAATGGAACAAGATAAAGGGGTTTCTGTGAAGGACTATTTGGTTGAGAAGCTGAGGCCTAGTGATGAAGATAGGGCTCTTTCTGAAGTGATCTCAGAGACTTTGTATAAGAAGGAACCAATGGAGGTTACTGGGGAGGGAGAGGGTAGGGATGTGAGGAAGGTAGTTTCTGATGGTGTGCACAAGAGAGAAGAGGAGCCTGAGAGAAGAGTGGATCATCATAGGCCAATGGGGAAGGTGACTGAGTCAGAGGAAGTTAAAAAGAGGTTGGGGAGTGAGGATGAGGAGACAGAGAAAAGGTATGAAGAGAGCTATGTGAATAGCCCTGGGAATGGTGTCCTTGATAAGCTTAAGGGTGTGGTTGGATCCTGGTTCACCAAACCTGGAGAGAATCAATCCTCACAAGGTAATGAGTGCTAGTAATTGTTTCCATGACGTTTTTCTTGAAATCTTGCTTTTTTATTTTGTTGTCCTATTTCAAGGCTTGAAAGCCTCTGCATTTATTTTACTCTCATTATCAAATTGCTAAGACTTTGATCAATTAGTTTTAATTGTTTAGTTACTTCTGGCGAGCTAGATTTTGCTGAAACTAAAGTAACACTAGTGAATTTTATTGTGTTGGTTTTGTTGCAGAAGGGGAAGATTTGTCTAGGAATTATGGGGCAGAAGTGGAACATGTTAATCAAGGTGCAGGAGAAAGAACACTACAGGAATCATCTAATTGAAGAATTGGTCTGCCGGAATATTTGCTTCGTGTGTTTGTAGATTTTTCTGTTGTTGTGGTTCACTTTATTTTTGGGTCTGAATCGTTCACTTTTGTTGAACGTTTATGTGGATGTGTCGACGTTGGAATTTACATTATGATATCATTGCTATGTAGAGTACACGACTGTGTCAACGTTGGGTTGAATAGGAAAAAAAAAAGGTGTGTTAATGTTCTATTGCGTTCTGTTTTTTCTTAAGTTTAAGTTTTGCAAATGAAATGAGGCTTTTGGGAACTTTAATTCAGAAATATAATATATGTATTAAAAATTATGAAAATAATTAATAAAATATATACATGTATTTATATTTTGAGTTTAAAACTTTAAGAATTCATTAGCCCCGTTGATAATAAAAAATAAATAAATATTAATCATCGTGAATACATTTCCATAAACACTACCCCTAAATTCTTTCTCCTCTCACCAAAATGTCATTTACAAAGCTCTCTACTTTAGAAAATTGAAAAAGAAGAAGAAATTCGTATAACTTTTAATATCTTCTGCTATCCCATTTAAAAGCCGTACGAACTGCTTGCCAACATAGAAGTTGTCACCATTTAGAATCAACAATAATTAGAGCCGGCTGACCCTGTTAGGTTTGAGCTCTTAAAAAATAAGGCCATTATCTTGGGTTATTTTAAGTCCGGTACCCGATAGAGTTTTAGGTTGACCCATGCGAGTTCGGACAAGTTTAGTGTGATACTTGAAAGCCTCAAGATCACACAACGAGTTCTTAACCCAGTTAAGGACGGCGCAACACGAGAATTGTGTTCCTACGAATTGAGGAAAATGATTTTGGATGAAGCTCATAAAAGCACTCTTAGTATTTCAACTAAGATGTATCGTGACCTAAAGAAGAGTTTCTGGTGGCCAGGAATGAAGAAGTCTGTGGCAAAATACATTGCATCATGCTTAACATGCTAAAAGGTAAAGATAGAACATCAGAAGCCAGCAGGACAACTCCAACCATTGAGCATTCCAGAGTAGAAATAGAGTGACATTGCTATGGATTTCGTTTCTGGGTTCCCAAGAACCTTATCCAAGGAGCCTAGGGCCATGAATCCATTCCCTTGGCCATTTCATTTTCACCTTTCATGCAAAAGGGGACACTTGGTCCGAATTTGTATTTTTGCTGCACCAAACCAAGAAACTATCTCACACTCTCTCAGACTTAATTAGCCCAAAGTAAAAATGAGCTTATATTTTTACTGCCCAAACCTTACCTTATGCAAGTTACGGGCTTCTGCCCCGACAACTCAAATAATTTTTTTTCTTTCTCTTATTTTTGTAACATATCATTTTTTTTACTGTTTTTATAACAACAAATCATTATTTTTATTGCTATTTTTAGTATTTATAACATATCATATTTTTAGTATTTGTAACATATCATATTAAGCTAAGAACTTAATAGATTATTGATTTCTATAATTCACGCAATACTTGATTTCAGGATCATCCAGGACTAATTTACTCTGCAGTACTGTTTAAAGTGTCCACTGATAATTCTGTCCAGAAAGTATATTTTCGTTCTATTTGAATTATTCAAAAAATAATAATAATAATTAATTAATAAATATATTTATCATAATTATCTTTCTTGAAAAACGTGAGATTTGGTAATCATTACTTTAGATTTTCAATGATTACTTAGCCGTCATAATTTTGCACGAAATTTCACGAGATCTAGTAATCATTTCCTTGAAGATCCCAAAAATCTAGTTCGGCCACTAAGATTGCATGCAATAGATCTTGTTCCCCGATTCCTAAACCAAGTCACTTTGAAACTTTCTTATCTTGTCTTACAAATTCCAACATGATTTCCTTGGAATTGCCACCATGTCAAATGTCCTTTCAAATGTCAACCAAGTCGCGTCAAATTTCTCGTCGGCCAATTATTTTGCATGCATGATGTCCAAAGCTTTAAGCCTTGATATTTGTGCCGATTCTTGGAACTTGCCTCACCAAAAACCGTGAGCCCCTTTTCATGTAACAATCCTTTTACTTCAATTGGCCAATTGCAAAATTGAAAGCCTTAGAACCTTATCCAAGGAGCCTAGGGCCGTGAATCCATTCCCTTGGCCATTTCATTTTCACCTTTCATGCAAAAGGGGACACTTGGTCCGAATTTGCATTTTTGCTGCACTAAACCAAGAAACTATCTCACACTCTCTCTTGAAACCCTTCCACTTTCTCATTCTCTCCATCCTCTCTTCAAACCGAGACTTCCCCTCCCCAAAAATCTCATATTCTCTCAACTTTTCAAGGCCAAAACCGAGAGACTCCAAGCACTCACCTTGTTCCTTGCTTGCTTTCTTCAAACCAAGACCACAACACCAAAGAGGTAAGCCATTTCTCATCTTTACTTCCTTGATTTGGGGGAGCCTAACACCATAGCACCTTCCTCCACCATTCTTTCTAATTTTCGTGTTGAAGGAACCCACTTTAGAGGGAGAACTTGAAGAATCTTGCCACTATTTTTTTTGGTCCAGCAAGCTTCCCTTGAAGATCAACCATTTCCAGCCCTTCTCTCTTCAATCTCACGTCCAAAAATCAAAGGCAAGGGGGAGTTCTCACCTTGCTTGATTTTGCATGTTGAGATTTGATGTTCTTGCTCATTTTTCCTTGATAAACTCTTGTATTTTGGACTGCATGTGGAAGTGACTTGAATCTGATTTTTGCATGTTGAATCACTTCAAAGAGTGTGTTATCTTCCCATTTACATGTCTCGGCCAGCCCCTAGAGAAAAAAAAAAAAAGGAGTGGACTTTTTCTTAATCAACTTGATTCACAAAAAGGTTGAGACTTTGAAGTGTGCATGTTGATTTCCTTGTCTTTCCTTGGCTGTTTTGCTTGTTCATCCTTAGAAAAATCTATACATTGAACTGTATGTTGAGTATACCCCAAATCTGAATTTGCATGTTAAGTTCTCAAAAAACCTTTCTCTTAACGAATTCACTCTTAAAAGTTTGAACCATTGATGTGTGCGTGTGGTTTCTTTCCATTTGCATGTCTCGGATTTGTATACCTTTTGACTTGATCTCTTGTTCAAATATTGATTGACCCTTGGAATCAAGAAACCACAGATTTACACGTTAATTTTGCATCATTGCATGTTAATTTCAGTCCTATGTATTTGGGTTTCACTCTTGAAAGTTTGGACATCCCTTAGGAAATTTGATGTACTGCACTTAGATGATGAAACCTTGTTTTTGCACGCAAACTTCCCTTGATTTAGTGGTGTGATGATTGAAAAAGAAGGAAGTAATAAGGAGGTTCATAAGGCTGGACAGTTTTGAACATTTTGAGGAAAAAGGCAAGGATTTCGTATTTTAGAACTTTAAAATAAATTGGAAGCATGAGAATGGACCATGGACATTAACCTTGTAAAAAGAAAGGACCAATAAACTTGAATGATTTTCGGTTTTGACAATAAGTGATGCAAATTATTTGGAGATGTCATGCTTGGATTGAACCTTGACGAATGTGTGAACTAAAGTGTTTAGCAACCGAATTTTTGAAAGGAGAACCCTTGTATATGCCTCGGTCTTGTGTCCCTAAAAGCTTGATTTCTTATAAACTAAAATCATGAAACTTGGACAATGAGTTAAAGTCTTTGTATGTTAGAAAACTTAAGTAAAATAATAAACGTGAGTGCTGGACAGATTTAACTCTTAGGGAAAAGATTAGTGTTTTCGCGCCTTGATGTCTTATTTTATCTAGGTATAACTAAAGAGATTGGAAGCATTTCATCTTGAATTAATTGATTGAACCCATGCTGAATTTAATTGGTTGAATGATTGTTGTTGCTTGTGAGTTTGAGTGATTGACCTCGTGAGAAAAGAAGTGTATGTTTTAATTTGGCCAAGCTTTGAAGTTAGGAAAGTTTTGAATATGGTTATGTACAAGTGCTGAAAAAATGTAATTGACATGGCTTTAAACTGTAATCACCTTTAGTTTTTAACGATGAAGGATGGTAAAACTTGTGCTTGGATGGTGTGACTTCATGAAACTTGGATGGTAAAGATTATAAGATGATGGAATGTGCCTTGTCTGCTTATGGGAACTGTGAACATAAAAATGTTTCATGCATCATATCATTTTCTTGAACGACTTGATGGCACAACAGAGGCACAGCTGTAGGTATTGGAGGTTCGGTCCCAAGTAGACCTACGGGGGTGGCGAAAGGGGGAACAGTCGACCTAGATGGCGCAGTAGAGCTCTCTGTGGCCGGGTCGTGACCCTACTTGCAAGCCTTAGCCAAGCCCGACAAGAACTCCACATCTTAGGGTCGTTTAGGTCCATTCCCGAAGAGACCCAGTTTGGGGCCAGCACCAGTTTTGGGTGTTCTTGGAATAATGAAATAAATGTTTTATGTGCAAATTGTGATGCAGAGAATGGAGTCCTCCGATCGCCACACGACTTGGATATGAAATTGTTAACTCTACACTAAATGCTGGGCAAGTCGCTGGCAGTAAAGTAAGGGATCCCCATGCATACCATGTGCATAGAAAAGAGAAATTTTAGAGATGTATGATGAGGGTAGGGATTGCATCCATGCATCATGAGCATCATTAGTAGGCAGTGGACTGTTTTTGACTGTGAAATTGCTCTTGCATGCTAATGATTGTTATCATATTCTATGTATATCTCATGATGATGGTGGAATGTATTAATTGTTATGCCTTGTAGTAATTGATATGCTTGTGTCTGAAACGCCACCTTCCTTGGGGTATGGCAACTATATATCAAATCGTGTTTGGAGAACTCACTCCTTGGCTGTATTGTCTCTGTTTTACTTTCCATGCATTATAGATGGCCAGGAACGGGACGAGAGTGCTGGTCCTTCCCTCTGAGGAAGACATGTGGGTGTTCGACGCCGCGGCCCAGCAGAGCATTTTCCGTGGTCGTGCCTACACCCTTCAGGGACGATATAGTGGAGGTTCATGGATTACTGAGTAC